GTAATAATACTCTAACCAGTTCAGTAACATTTTGTATAGGAAATTTCCTGGCAATACTTTTATACAATGTCATATTTCATACAAAAGACCAAGAGTCGAGCAAATGTTCCAGAATGGCCAAAGACAAACAATGTAAACTTCGTCTAACCCTTCATAGAACATTTGACAAACATGAAAGTTCAATATGGACACAAGTTTTAATACAGCACGTTGAAAAATATATTTATGATTTATTGAATACTAAAAATGCCGATTTTCTGCAGCGCTCGCACAATGATATATACCAATACGCAAGACACGGAAAAGTCACATTTTTTATAAAACAGCAATCGCAGGTCAGATTTAACTTTTTGATGAAAAAACTTGTTGGGTTGGGTTTAATAAAACCAATATTTAATCACGTTTATTTGATCCAAAGTTTTGAAAAAAAAATAATACTACAAATATGGAAATATTGCACGAACATTTTTGCTGAAATAATTAGGGCGCATAAATGTTAAAAACAATACAATCTCGTATGCAAGACAATAACACGTTACCTTTTGTCGAGTAACGACCAAAAAAGCCCTTGTTTTTTGCGTTTCCCCTGCCAGAACTGATGAACTTGAGAGTGAACGTTGTACTGCTGAAGATTATTGGTTCTGGGACTGTGCTTCCGGACAGCCTGGCAACAATTAATGCATCCTCGCCAGATCCATCAATAACCACCAAGATGTCACCAAGTTTTAAATCAAACTTCTCAAATACCAATCTCAAAACCTGTGTGGTACACGTTTAAGTTCAGTACACGTGTTTTACAATTGGCTTGTATTAGCAAAATATACACGATTAAACCAGATGTTATGTGGCATTAAATCCTTAATTAACATTAAAACTCACGGTCACGGTCGGCTCCCTTCCACGATTCGTCTTAATGTTTCGTACCTGTATATTAAACGTGTAATGCGAGAGTTATAAATATGCAATGTGCACCCTTCCCATCGAGATATTAATCCTCAAGTATTGTATGGTCCATTTTTATTATTTAATTAGCCAATGAGTTTGAAATTTGAAACTTACAGCATTTACAGTTGGCACAGAAATGGTGATCTCGCAATACGAAGGTGCGTCGGAACCATCGTTGTCTTCAAAGTTAGCATTACCAATCGTGCCGCTACCACCTGGTTGGGCGGTGTTTGGGATACATGCCAAACCTTCCGGGGCTAAAAGGAATTGAAACTAAATAGTAATCATTGTCTTCCGATACACTGCGCGTCAAGGTTATTTACACCAATACTGTATATAACGAACTTACAGTCACACCAGAGTGAGCTGTATCAACCAACTACATTTTCAATTGTATACGAGAGGCATCATTTTTTTAACTAAATAAATTATATTTGTTTATCGAAATGAGGTGCGGTATCGCATTTCAGAATTATTTGTAGTTGTATGCAATATTAAAAACAATGTATATATTGCCATAGTTGCAACATTTAAATTTTCTTGGTATGAACATTTTACTAATTTTAGCATTATTTGGAGTTGACCATGAAGCAACGTCTTCCACTAATTTACAAAGATTCCTAATTTAGGCAAAATCCAGTGAACATTTATTTATAGATAAATTTAGAGTTAAAAATCGCGTATAACGCAATGCGTTGGCTCATGTGTCTGGCGTGAACGCATACAGTATTTTACTTTAACCACGTCATCACTTGGTTGTTAATCATTTGATGACACCCTGAAATTGGCGAAGTACGTTCAATGTGAATCGATGACCCAACCAACTCCAATAGCTCACAGGTTGCTAGTCTTGTTTTCAGTATTTTTTGGTGGGAGGTTTCCATCAAAAACTTCCAAACACGACAAAGGATTGACCCCTGTATACACAATTTTACATGGAGTTTATAAAGTTTGTCGTGTGGATAAACTATACTAGTAGTTGTTTACAGTGTGCATGGTAACTAAAAAGAAACTGAAGTGCTATTTTACTGGAAATAATCGTAAAAAAAGAATCGCCTGGTCAAAATAAATAGGCTGTACGATAGTAACTTGTTCGATTAACTAATGCATCATCTATTGCTGTCCACGTCCTGAAAATGTGTGAATAACAAAACTTACTCAAACTATCATACCGGGCGGTGAACCCGCGTAGATTCTTTCGCTCGTTGGTCAGAAACACGATAAATAAATAATTGTTCGTGGAGAGAATAGGGTAACTCCCGGGAGAGTTTTTGTTGTTGTAAATTCCAATAAGATCTGCCGTCTCGTCTTCTCCGTCGTATACGCGAACGAAATCGCAGCATCCCTCAACATCGACATTGTTGAAGACTAGTTTCACTCTCTGAAAAACGAAACAAAAATAATGTTCTATCACTTGCGAAAACAGTTCTATAGAATATTTTTTTTTCTATAGATTCTTTTTATTGAAGTCTCATTTCAAAATAATCCGAAAATTGCTATATCAGTTTCGTCTGATAATGTAGAACATTGTATAAAACGTGTACAAACATTGTATAAAACTGTTAAATGCTGTAGCAATTGCATACGGAATTCAAAACAAGTCAAGAAAATATAACGTGCAAAATACAAGTTTTACGTGATGTATTAAATACTAGTGAATACAGACCGGAAAATTACAATATATTAATGTACAATTATGTATTCCGCCATAGTATTTAAAGAAAGGTTGACTGTAAGAGAAAAATTGACAAATTATTGACAAAACTAATACAAAATAAGAGGCATCTCGTCCAGATGGTACTCGTATTTATTTGTCAGATACACCGCTATGGGCGATATGTTGGAGGATGGTCACATTTGAGTGAATCTTTGGGAGTGTTGGCTCCAAAACATCGCCGTTCATTTTTGTTAACTACTTCAATCACTGTAGCAAAAAATATAATAGCAGGAGTTGTAAGATATTGCCATCAGTATTCCATTATGCGTCAAGCGAGAATGAAAAGCCTTCAATAATCACAAAACATTTCAGTTAATAAAATGGCACGATTTTTCCTAAATCGGGTGACAACAGCTCATTGCCTACAAACGCGCTTTAAACATTCGAGCTGAAAACCGCAACTATATCATATGCAGCCATATTGTTTTTTCAGTTTGTACAAAGTACAATACAAAATAATGTATGGATAGTAATGTTAAAGTTTATAGAAATATGCATTTTAATGAAAGGTCTGTAGGAATTCTACAATCATCCAAAATGATTTTAGTCTTGAATAGGAACGCTTGCCCCGACTACCACGGGACACTGGGGGCAATTTTTAATTGCTGGCTTTGCTTGTAAAGAATACTAGGTTTTATAGAAAGCTAGACCTACAAGTTGTTTTTTGTCAAATATTGATCTCCAAACCAATATGAATATTTTTTAAAGACGAGCGTAGAACGGGTGCATACCATGTCCTGATCACCTCTGTTGTCATCGGTAACAATAACAAATGATGACTCATTGTTTTTTAGGCTTTTTAATGTACATTTGGGTTTTACAAGCATTTTAGATTTTCTATAGACAATATGGTTATAGAAGTTGTTGTGGTGATTAGAGTTTATGATGAAATCTCATTTTGTTAGCAGTTGATCTCTTCAGATATTTTTATAGGCATCTTATACAATTTTTACATTAATACTTTATATTAATTTAAACACCAAACATCATGCAAGTAATATGCGCCTCGTTAGAATTAACCTGCATACAGTCAGTTTATAAAACTCTTTCAAAAACAATCTTTAAAATGTTTATAGAAATGCTATATAAAGAAAATTCTAAACTAATTTTAGAAAAATATATTCTACAAGATATTTGTAGAAGTTTAATAGAACATTTCCAT